GGTGGTGAGACTGTAAGAGTGGCCCTTAAAGGTCGAGTATCCACTTTACAACAACTGTCGGCTCCAAGCTTTTGCACCGTGCAACTCACCGTGCCATTCATTGACATGCTAATTTCTCTAACCCCTCCCTCTCTCTCCGCCCCCTCTCTCTATTTAAGGCCTCGACACAGAGGCGTGGTTTCTCTGTGTGCCTATGTACGTCTCTCTCTCTATGTATCTCTGTGATATCTGTCTCTGCTTATATGTCTGTCTATATGTCTCTGGTTCTGTGTTTTATCTCTCTCTCAAATTTAGCATTCTCAGGAAGAACGTATTCAACCAGGTAGGGTGTTTGACTGTTATGTTATCCGACTCTCTGTTGTATTACGTTACATTTCTAAGTATACTAGATTTGTGTTTCTATTTCATTTATACCTGATGATGATTGCTTGTGTTGCAATCGAAACGTCGTATGCTAGTATTTAATTTATTACTTTCTCTTTATACGTGACTTTACCGAAATAACCAAAGAGGAGGCGCCAATGGCGTTAGTCAACACGACCTTTTGAAACATTACAAACAGGGCCCTCTGTAACATGACTTTTGAGATTCGTTCGAAACGTCCCTCAGTAAATGAATGGATGTTAACGTTACCCACCAAACACGTGTCTTACGAACTGACAACTGCAATAACCATTTAAACAATCCATGACGGAAAGTTCCCAAAATTTACCCAAACGGTAATTAATTAGTTCAATGCCTTAACATCTGCAGAGGTGTGTGTAAGACAAAAAAAACCCATAACTCTCCAATATAATTATTGTAAGCTTTTAAATGTGTTGCTTAATATTGTTCTGAATGCATCATCACACAGTATCAGTATGCTGGTAAAATCTTGCTATAATAAACAAAACACTCCATAATTGATTGAACAGAGTTTGCAACGAGAATCTTACTGACACAATGCAATGTAGATAATGCATTTAGGCAAGTGTAACACGGAATATGCATGCCATGTGCCTGCTCATTAATAAATGTAATAAAGCTCGTGTGAAGAAAACAATAAAAAATTGCGAGGATCCTAGGAGTGGAAATATATTGAGTAATTGCAAACAAGGGCTAAACATGCAACTTAGAGCCACAGCTATGAAAAACATAATCCAGAGAATCTGGCTTTTTAATATTTTGTCCCCCATTGCTCTGTAAAGGCGATGACCACAATAAAAAAATCGAAGAAAAAACCCCGAGACCAATCAATCACTTATATTCAGCTTGTGTCAGCAGCCGGATTATTACTTTGTGCCGTTTTGACCAATCTCGACACCAATGTTCAAAGGTGGCCCGTGACCACAATCAGATGCCTGGAATTGCATTGTAGGTCAAAAGGTCACAGGGCAATGTCAGACCACTTCAGAGAATGTTCCTGAGATAGGCTGCCGATGCCGGGTTGGCTGGGCTGGCTTGGTGGGTAGCTTTATTTGGATGGGGAGACAAAGAAGCATTCTAAATAAAGGGCACGATATTGTTTTTTTAAAGAGCTCTTTTTTTGGTCTTTCCAGGACTGCCCCTCTGAATTAAATCAGTCATGCAGGCCACTATGAGAGACTACACACCAATTGTGGCAGTGAAAGTCGATGCCAAAACTCGCAGGTCTCTGATGTCCCACTGACTGTGCATGCATGGAACCCGCAGTCGCCACTACCACCACCGCCACTGCTTCCACCACAACCACTGAGACATCTACTACTATAATCATCATCGTCGCCACCACCACCATCACCAATATATATGATCCTCGCCCGAAGATGAAAAGGAACCGTTAAATTCGCTTTGATCAAAGACTTCGTTTTGTAGATATCTCGAGCGAACGCGTTCAACGCTGTGTGCATTTAGCATGATCTGTAGCTGAAGTTGACAGCGAATCCAGGTGTTGCCATCTAAATCTTAAACGGTCATTGCTGCACAGCCCACATTACCACCCAGCTGTTGACCGTGTGGCTCATTATTGCAAGTGTATCCATTAGACGCACAATGATGCATTGCAGCTTAGATTAAAATCAATTATGCTCGCAAGTGTATAAAATCACGTGCGTAAAAATGTAATTACGCACAATCGATGCAAATTACATGCAAATGATATGCCGTTACGTTGAGGCTAACGAAGCGATCAAAACTGCACCAACGACACAACAAAAACATTGAGAAACAATTGAAACAAGACGGTGGGGGTCGTGGTGACACTGGCGGTGGTGGTAACATTGAAGTGTCGAAGATGGTGATGGTGGTGGGTGTGGTGGTAGTAGTGGTCAGGGTGATGGTGGGCAAGGTGGTAGTTGTGGTCAGGGTGCTGGTGATGTCGGTGGGAGTAGTAGTGAGGGCGGTGGTCGTGGTGGGAGTGGTGGTGGTGCTGATGAGGGTGGTGATGGTGATGATGGTAGCAGCTGTGGTGGCAGTAGCTGTTATTATCTACAAATATAATATTTCGAATGGAATTTCTTGACCTATATTTGTGACGTATGTACATTTAAATCACTAGCACATTTTGACACCGCGATTCGCAACCCCGGTCAGACAATCTTGCGGGGTGCGTAAAAATCCGTTCTCGTGATGTCGAAGCAATCGGTAGGCGAATGTCATCAGCAGCTGAGCACGAAGCTTCACAGTCTCTTGCCGTAAAGCAGCACCCGGCCTGATGACGATTGGCTCCGTGTTGTGGCTCGTGCCCGAGACTTGGACGGACGGTTCCTAACCCTAACCCTAAAGAATTTGTATGAAGAACGACATGACCCCAACGCTCTACTTTCCGTACTATCCATGCTCCAGGCCCACTTCAGGCTCGCAAGGCACGCAAAAAAGCAGCTGCTGCTGCTGTTGCTGCTCCAGGCGTTCGCCCTCCTGGTCGACCCGAAAAATCGCGTGCCCCAGAACCAAATCAACGGTCAATATTAAAAAAAATGTTTTAGCAAGTCTCAGTAGACTAAATAAACCTTCGAGTCACGTCAAACTTGCGACGGGTTCTATTAAAGACTGATAAACATATTTGCTGATTAAAATTTAGATTTTAGACTATTTTATGAGGAGCGGTGTGTTAAGGTGCCCCAGTGGACCGCCAATACGTCCACGTATACTTAAAAAAAATATTGCAATTTTTGATTTCCAATTTCATGTAGAATCAAAATACTATTCAAGAATCTGCCAGCTACATAATGATCCACATTAACCCCTTCTGGGTTTCTGGCCACATCACAGCCTCCCCGTCATACCAACCTCATGCCTAACAAGTGTAGAGGAGTAAAATGGGGACGTGACGTCAGGTGTGCCGTTCAGTAGCGATGACGTCACATCTCCTAGGGTACTTAAGGGAGACCCCGTGACGTAAGCGGGGTCACTGTGGGAACGGGTAGAGTAAGCAGGGTGAAGAGGGGACCAGGGGTAGAGAGAGGGATCGAATAGGGAGTCTGGGGAGAAGCCGGTGGTAGCCGTAGAGGTGCTTCTCTCTCCGCTCGGTGGAGTCGGCAGAGTTCACGATCCGACACGAGAGAGAGAGACCGGAGCTAGCCGGCAGGGACCCGCACTCAGAGTAGGACCCCCCTAGCCCCTGGGAGTTGTGTACCCTGCTGTGTAATATTGATAAGCTTTAATAAACCCTGGCGGAAGCCCTTAACTTACCTGCGTCTACGAGTGCGTCCGTCGGAACTTCTCTACACAAGCAACAATCCCCCCACAATCGTTTACACCGTGTGGGATGCGTGCAATGATACACTCCACCAGGGCTTGATGGATTGTCATCATACAGCATTGTGATTGATTCACGATTCAATAATTTTTGTTCTCGCTTATACTGCCTGGTTTGTATTGTCTCGAGTTTGTTGTGTCTTGTACATGCAGTTTTGTTCGCTATATCAGCTTGCTACTGCTACCACGAATAAATAATAATAATAATTATTAAACAACACTACAGAAACGTGTATATGTATGTATTTCTACATTTGAAGCTTTCGTGACTGCAATGATTCATATTCTTAGGTTTTTTCGGTAAAGTCACGTAGGTAAAAAATTAAAATGAAAATAAATAAAAGTAAAATAAAAATAAAATAAAAATCATTCAGACGCTGTCTCCCCGACAGACCTGGTCTTCACCTGAGGACGGCTGCTTGCGTTGTGGCCGAAACGTGAGAATTATTTGATTATGTTTTCTTTTTATTATTTTATTACTTCCCTTCTACGTGACTTTACTGAAAGAACCAAGAAGATGAATCCCTGCAGTCACGAAAGCTTTAAATCGAAAAATTAAAATCACGACGTTTCGGAGGCAACACAAGCTTTAGTCTTCAGGTGGAACCGTCACAGCACGATAGCTGTATCCAGTGTATGTATGTTGAATCTATTTTGCTAATCGGAAGTGCGGGGGAAGGACAACAAACTAAACACAAAAAGCATTTCTAAAGAAATGGGGTTTCAGTTTAGAAAATACTTACACAAGTGTCGTCAGGAAAGTGTGTCACTGCAAGTTACCCTAAGTCACACTAGATCAAGTTAAAAACTGATACGATGCAGCGTGCATGCCAAAATCTCCAACAGATAAACTGAAGTAATTTTTCACAGAGACGTATCGTAGCAAGAGAAATATCCAATGCCATTTGGAACAGCTGCCATTTTATATATATGTAAGATTTGTTACATTTTATATTTTACAGTTACAATATTCAATGTTATTCTGAATGACAAAAACTGCTCTGCGGATTTTTTTTTTCGTGAGAAATGTTGCACAGTTTTAAATTAAACATGTTTATGGCGAGGCTCGTGCATAGGGATGGTTTGGCCTTTAAGCCGGCTCTCTGTCAGCCCTTCCCGTGCCCCCCCCCACCCACAACGTGCATGGAAAGGAGATTCACAGCCCATGGATGTTTGAAAAAAACAGGCACTGACCGAGAAGGCGTCAGGAGAGAGAATAAATTATCCTCGAGCAAAGGCAGAAAGATTTGTTTCACTGCGGAAATTTGATTAATCAGTGGACCTACCACCAGGATGTCTGCAGCGCCTGTCCTTCTTGCCCCAAGCAGACTCCAAAATAGCCGCTCCTGCTGGCAAAATGATGCATTTAGAGACATACGATGAGGGACCCGCACGTAAATCCGGGCAACGGCGTTAAATTGTACGTCGGTCGGAATACACCGTCAGAATCATCGCTAGCGGGCGGACGAGGCGAGCTTCAGTAATTGCACGCGGACCTACGGTCCTTTGCCAAACAGCGATTGCCGAACAACGACTTAAAGATTGCTGTGGAAGGCAGGCACGGGCATTGCTCATCAAATCGGCTTCGGCCCACTTGTGGGACCCACTCGGCAAAGTCTCACAGGTTCAATGACTGGGCAGCCGTGTAGCGGATTGTGTAAAATGTTCCGTTACACACAAGTGGTGTTTTTTTTTTTTTACCCCCCAAATTTTATTTATCGCGGTCACATCGTGAGACAGAGAATCCATTTGAAGCTCTCACACAGCAGTGCACCCGTCGATGTTTGCGAGTGGCTAACAAGAAGCGGACATCACAGAACCACTTCTGATATGTCCCTTCAAGTGACCTCTGATCCACACTCGGGGTGCATATTATCACATGCTCTGCTGCAAAGAAATGTTTGTTGTATGGTAGTCAAACCGATTTTTTTTTTTTAAATCTCAGAGCTGGACTCTAAGCAAATGCACGGAAACAGATTTAATATGATGGGTTTCCGCGCTGCCGTCTTTGATGACCAGGCAGAGACCATCAACTCACTCAACTTGACAGCCCGCTTTAATGACAAGCTGCTCCTTGCATTCAAATCTAAGATCTTAGCAGGGCCAGTTCAGTGCCCTCACCTCTTGAGCCACGCAGTCCGCTTACAAGCGTTTGTTTTGAGGATTGCATTCATATTTAACGAAGGTTCTTGTACGCTCTTGTTAATCGAATAAAAGTGATTGTTATGCTTTCAGAACCTACAATTAATCATCCGCGAAAGAATCGTTTAATTATGATTTACTCAAATGCTGTAAAATGAATGCGCGAAACTACACCTACTAAACGTTTAAACGGAAATGTAATACCGTACCTCAATCATGGAATGAGTGCTGCAATGATTCTTCTTTTTCAAAAAGGGAGACAAAAACGACGTGTCTCCCTTTTCGATTTGAAGATCTTCGGGCACCAAATTATGGAAGTTTTAGAGGCCAACTAACCACGTGTCCAAGCTCGATTGAGGAAAGGCGATTCCACCGTAGATCACATACACACTCCCAATCAACTCCTGAAAATGGCATATGAATATCGACGCCACTATTGCCTGGCCTGGAGTTGATTATGAAAAGGAATTCGATTCAGCGGAAACGTAAGTGATCATCCAGCGTTCACGAAACTGACTTGTTGATTAGATGTCATGTTGACATTGCCAACGCCACTCCGAAGGAACTGCTGCGTTGAGATTGCGCGGAGAAATTGCACAAATCACAAGAGGAAAGCACAAATCATAAGAGGAGTCAGGAAAAGGAGACACGTTCTCACCGAGGATATTAACAGCGACGCTATTTGACATCTTCTGAGAAAATTTAATTTTCAGAAATAATGGCACAACGCATTACGAGAAAGGGATTGCAGAACTTGACGAAGGAGGCTGCAAGTTTTGGACTTGAGATGAATAAGAGCAAAAAAAAGTACTCGATATCGTGTATACATGTAACGAAATCTCCAGATGCTGTTTACGTCAAAAGAATGAAAGCTTCAACTCTTGAGCAGTGACCATGTGAAATTAAATTAAATTCAACAAACACAACGCGGACAAGATAACCATGAGGTCCGTGGTAACACAAACGGTAAATTGTTGAGGAATCTGTTTTGAATGGACAGAGGCAACATTGGGGCTTGTTGCATCAGTGCGGAAATCGATTAAGTGTCATCTTCCTGACGGCGTCTGTTATAAACGGTCGAGGAGTGTAACTTGAAATGTGTGGGCAGTCGGGTGTTGAGCAGTGGAAAGGGAAGGGCATGACCCAAGATAGCCATGACATAAATTGTGTGGACAGCCCACAGTAAAATACATGAAAAAATAACAAACCGAGTCGTGAACAGCAGGACAACTCGTGCGAGGTATGCAGCGGTACGAAGACAAAGATAACGATCCCCCGTATAGCCTCGACAGACTGTTGGGGCAAGTGCCTTTAGCGAGCACCCATGAAGACCGGCACAGCATACGACGGAGTGGGTGGTCAACACCACGCCTGGGCCGCCTTTAAAGGTTTAAAGGTTTGATTTGAAATGAAATATCACCCCCGACTCAAGGGAGGTTTCAAAACATTAGACAGCACTGATTCAATTGTGTCGGATTAAAATATCAGACAATTAAGACAAGAATGTCAAAAATGCAGCACCCCCTTAATTCATCAGGGGGATAAAATAAACGTTCATATTTCTACCACTCAAGGACAATAATCCGTCCACGTGCCGCGCACGGGATGATTTCATCGCTTCGTCTCCGCGGCGGACGTGATCCCTCAGGCGAGCTCCTCGCTCCGGCCGCCGATCCCCCGTTAGTCTCGACCAAGGAGCACCATTCCCTTATAGGGGGCCGTCCATAAATGACGTCACGCGATTTTGGACGATTTTAACTATTGTCATTGTAGTGCGTATTTAATGTGGCGCTGCACTCTGATGTTGTAGGATAAAACGTTTATTAAAAAGTCTATTTGATTAAGTAGAACGTGTTGTCTATATTTATTTAAAGATGCGCATTTTGATGTGACGTCACATTTCTCAAACCAACCCTCCCCCCCTCGTCACACATCGTCACAAATGTCTGACCCCTCCCCACCCTAGGTACGTGACGTCATTTATGAACGGCCCCTAGCCACGTGTCCACCCCAAGCCCACGTTCATTGCGGTCAATATGTGAGGAGTTGGGGAGACCTTCATTCAGCACTGGATAGCTCACGTGTTGTTTGTGCTCCTTCCCCCGCACCTCCGATTAGCACACAGTTGGCTACGTACGGTGCGAAAGAAGTTCAACATACTGTACATATTTGGCTGACGTTGATGATGATGACTCGAGAACAGGTTCACTCAACAGCTGGCCAGTGTGCGAACGTCAAAGTTGGTGCATAATGGGCAATGATGAAGAAGACACCACATTCCCTCACAAGCTGCTGTGCGCACTCAAATATATGAGAGAAAAAAATACACATTTTGTCTCACTACGGACTTCATTTAAAATTCCCCATTGCAACAACAGCCACCACAACAAAGGCAATTATCATATCATCAGCGGATGAAGGCCTTCCCATGAGATCAACAAATAAAAGGCCATCTGATCGCTGATATACATATTTTTGTTTGTCAAATTCTTATTGCACAGATGTGTTTTCAGGTGTAATAAAAAAACAACTCACATCGAGTTGGCGGATCTCACAAAGGGTGTTACATATAAGGAATTCCACTGGTTAGAAGCATGAGCAGGCATTGTGATCCGGGGGAGCATTACTACTGAAGCATCTTGTGCATGGAGTATACGACTTGGGATAGAAACAGAGTGGAGTTCAGTCAAGTAAGAAGGAGCAAGACCGTTTAGTGCCTTGTAACTTAAAAAGCAGAATCTTGAAATCGGGCCGAGAATGAACTGGGAGCCAATGTAATGAGGCCAGGATTGGTGTAATGTGGACAGATTTTTTATTTGAATGTGTGAGCACTCAGGGGGCAAGCAGCATGTTGTACAACTTAGCAATGTCTTCGCGGATATTGCTGTAATGAGTGCCTTGCAGTGATCAAGTCGAGAAGAATTGAAGGAGTGGATTTAACTTCATTGCACCGGCAGAGGAGAGACAGGGTTTGAGTTTGGCAATATTTCAGAGATTGGGTAGCAAGTTTGGAAGAACAATAAAGCAAGCTCTCAATGACAGATGTGAGGAAGTTAACATTGTAGAGTTGGTGGGTGTCGGGAGTCCAATATAATTGCCTCAGTTTAGACTGGGAAAGTTTCGTAGCATCCAATATTTAATATCTGGGAGACAAGCTGACAGCACTGTCAAGTTAGAGACCTGATCGTGCTTGACTGAAAGATACAATTGTGTCATTGGCATCGAAATGAAAGCTCACCCCAAACTGCTGACTGACGTTGTTCAATGATAGCATAATAATCATAGAGAACAGTTGAGGGCCCAAAATGGATCCCCAAGGGACACCGCATAGTTCTCTTGATAGCAAAGAAGTAGACCTCCCCCCAAGCGACACTGAGACAACAATGTCACCTGTTTGAGGGATGTGAGGTAATTCGTCTCAAAGCAGTGCTTGAAATTCCCAGTGTCCCTGAGGGGAGGTCGAACAAAATTGAATTATCAGCTGTGTCAGAGGCTGCCCTTGAGTCTAGCAAAAAATAAGAATGTACTCTTTGGCCAAAGGCAGAGTTAATAAGTCATTGACTACCTCAACAAGATCAGTTTTCTGTGCTATGAGCTGGAGGGAGTCCAGGTAAAATTTTCTCAAATAAATCTTTGAAAGTTGAGGACATTCTGAAGCTGATCTGTCTCCACATCTCCACATATTAATTAAAAAAAAGATCCATTAGCCATGACAAGCAATTTGCAGATCAATATTATTCAGCAGCGTTCATTTAAGCAAGCAAACCCTGGACCAGATTAAACCTCCTGGGTCTCGTCAGCAGAGTCAGTATTGTTAAACAAATGCTGCTAGATTATCAGGTGCAGTTGGCAAGAACACTACATGTAATCTATGGGACCCCACTTTAACACAAAAAGCAATACATGTGGATAGGCTATTTTGTGGGCAAAACTGTAAAAATGAGATGAGGAAAATGACTTTATATTTGTACGTTTATTTACCGAGGAAAGCATCACTTTAGTCTCAAGACTCTTTGACAGGAGGGTCTTGCCAAGTTTTCACAGTAGGCGTGACGTAGCTGCGTATACACCTGGTTAAGTATTTCTCGGGTAATTCTTCAGCATTGGGATCTTTATTTCCCCCAATACCAGTTACGTTGCATTTTTCTTTGGCTCTGGGAGGAAACTGGAGAACCCAGAGGGAACCCATGCAGAACAGGGTGAGGAC